GATCACCAAGCCCATCCATCAACCCAACACTACCATGAGCACTAAACTATGTCCCCAGGTGCCATGTCTACACATTTCTTGAACCCTTCCAGGGATGGGGACTGCACCACCTCCCTGGGCAGCCTGGGCCAAGGCCTCACCAGCCTGCCAGGAAAGGAATTCTTCCAAATATTCAATTGAAACCTTCCCTGCACAACTTAAGCCCATTTCCTCTCATCCTATGGCTGGTTACTTGGGAGAAGAGACCAACTCCCACCTCACTCCAACCTCCTGTCAGGGAGCTGTAGAGAGCCAGAAGGTCTCCCCTGAGCCTCCTCTTCTCCAGACTGAACCCCCCCAGGTCCCTCAGCTGCTCCTCACAAGCCATGTTCCCCAGAGCCCTCACCAGCTTCACTGCCCTTCTCTGGACCTGCTCCAGCCCCTCAAGGTCTTTCATCCTGTGGCACCAAAACTGATCCCAGTGCTCGAGCTGTGGCCTCCCCAGTGCCACGACCACTTCCCTGCTCCCACTGGCAAAGGGGCAGCAGCCATCAGCACCACTGCATCTCATCTGTATTACAGTAACAAGAGCTCAACACATGAACTCATATGTTAGATTTGCCTGTGTCAGGTACACAAAGTGCTTTTTGGAGATAGTCAACAAGGTACATGTTAAAAATTTCCTGTTTATAACAGAATATTGTGAGAAGCACACGATGCAGGCAAAGGCAAAGAGCAGCTGGTTCCCATCTGCCCTATCTGGAGGCAGTGTCACTTCCAGAGAAAGGAGGACAGTGATAACAACTTCCAGAGGCAGTGTTCCACATTGCTTAACAAGAAGCACCCCTCAGAGCGACGAGATATTAGCATATCAGCCACAAGAAGTGCACCCTGGGTTCTCCAGCTGTTTCTTTGCCATTTATTGTGCAACCTTATTGTACAACGCTGTTGCTTCAAAAGAAGCAAAACAAATTCTGGGTTCACCCGGCCCCAGATGTTCTGGTAATGAGATTCTGCTTCTCAACAGCATTGAGAGTAAAATATTTTACATCAACTAAAGCAGCATGCAAACCTGACTACAGAACACAGACTGTTTTAGGTGGCACTCAGAGAATACGGCCGCTACCGTTCACCAAAATTTGGTGTCATTACTGGAGCAGAATGATTGAGTTAATAATCAGTTTGCTGACTGAAACAGAAAATTATCAGTTGAATTCATGCAGCTAAAGAGGTTACAGCATTAGCTACATTAACATTAATTCATATCATATGCAAACAACAGAGAACAACATTTAAAACTTGTTGGTGTGAGGAAAACAAACCTGCAAGCTGAACAAACACATGAATTAGGACAGACCCTAACTCAGGATGCTTGTTAGTGACCTAGGAAAAAAAGAATAAGCATCATGCTAACTAGATTTGCATCCAAGACAAAATAGGCAAGAGAACAACCAAAAGTCTGATTAATTATTATTGTTTTCAAATGAGGGATCTAATTTTTTTCTATAATAATCCCAGAAAATTAAGAGACAGAAGTAGCTAGAAATTAGTTATCTTTAAAAAAATGGAAAGTCCAAGAATTTACAAAGCAAGTAGTTAATGAGATTTGATGATGGTATTCATGGAGAAATCATGTCAAGAAGCATGAAGTCAACTGGTTATACATGTCCTGCTTTGATCCTGCCCACACAGAGAGAAGTTATTAGAACCAAACTAAACAGAAGAGGTGAAGAATTAAAATTCCATTCAAATAAGAAGATGCTTTACAGCAAAGTGATACGGTGAAAAATTCACTTGATGGCAAGCTTTAGGTTTTAAAAAGGTCCTTCTAATTAGTACTTCAGCTCTGTTTGCTACTAACTTTACAGAATGAGGACAAAACTTTATTCCTGAAATCAGTATCTTGCATGTTAGCATTCTAGATATTTTGCTGCACACCAACTACTTTACAAAAAGACCACGAGATGTACTTTAATTCAGAAATTCTAACTTCTTTTTTCATGTGAGAACAAAATCCTTCCACCTTTGAAACAATTCATGGCCTGGGGAAACTTCTGGATATCTCAGTTATTGATCTCCATTTCCCTGCATTAGAGTTCTCCACAAATAACCAGTATTATACAGCAGTATTACACACATTTTTCAGCTGCAACTAGATTACATTTAGAAGTACAAAGTAGTCAGATTTTCCCAACCATGACATTAACTTTGCTAGAAATTCTGACTGGAGAAAAAAAAAATAAACCAAACCAAGCAGGTATCTTCAATAGAACCCCAAAAAAAAGGTTGGCAAGACAGTTCTCAGTGAGGTGATGAATGTTTCCAAACCTGGAGCTACCTGCACAGATCAAATACACAAATAGTGTATAGAGACTAATGGGATCTAAAACAAATGAAAAACAGGAACAAACGTAGGATTTAAAATCTTATTTTGTCATAGTTTCTCTGGTATAAATAAATATTTTAAATAGATGGCAAAATAGAGGTTTTTTTTTCCCTTAAAACTGACTGTATTTAGGAGTGAACACTACCTAACTTCCTAAGAACTTGCAGTATTTTACACTTTCCATGCAAAAACAAAGTTTGAAGGCTTATTTTAAGATAAGAGGCTTCTTAAAATGCAAAATGAGATGAAATTCTGGAATGAAAACATTGTTCCATGCCTCTTGCACTTCACTTCAACATCACATATAATCTCTTTTAACAGGCTGTCAGAAGGAGCAGCCAGACCCTCCTCCCACATGCTCTGCAGGGGCTTCAGCCACAGTCTGACCGCAGGCAAATGGGCTCAGCTCACAGATCCAAAGCAAAAATAACTATTAAAAAGAAAAATATTTAAAGCCTTCATTGGTTAACACCTGATTGTTTGCAGGGCAACCAGACGTTTACTGGTATGGATGCTGACGCCACGAAACTGCCCTCCCTAAAGTGCTCTGATGAACTTCAGATCACAAACAAACTGGAAATAACTTAGGAAAAAGCTCTGCAGCACAACAGCATGAAAAGGATCATCCTACAGAAGTAGCAAGGAATAAAGCACAACAGTATTAGTCATCTTTTGTCCTTCAAAACAGAGAATGGAGGTGGTTATAATAATTCTGGGTATTTTTAGAAGGCTGTTTTTCCTCCTGACACTCTTCAGTCTGCTGTTTATGTCACCATTGGAGATGCTTTCCATTTTTCTCATTCTGGGGCCAACCTCAGCAGCTTTGGAATGGCCATTAACACCATACTTGAGGAGTATAACTCAACAGGCTTTGACAGCTTGGTGTCTGAGAACACAGGCTGGTGGAAAGCCCCCCAGAAGTCAATTCAATGAGTGACAATGCTTCAGGAGCTGTGTGAACCTTATCTGGTGTGTTAAAAGAGAGGTCAGCTTTCAGTTTTCAGAAGTATAGTTATGTTTGCAGTGAGTTTGTCTGAAATTGTACTTTCATATCAGGAATACAATGCCACAGGACTGTTTTTATGAACTGACTTGCTGTACTTGCTGGGAAGAGCTGTCACCAGCACAGCAGCTGCCTTTCTCCTCCAGAACCACTGGCAAGATCAACAGCAACACTCCACTCTCACCACAGTTAATTCAGACAGACAACTCTCACTGCCCAACAGATCCCAGTCAAGTCAGATCTATGCAAGCTGACAGACACAAACCAAAGCACTTTTTAGAACCTCCCATACACTGCAGCACCAGTGTAAAATCAAATTGCTCCTTTCCAGATGAGCATGTGAACAATGTGCACTCTTTGTTAATTAAAGTCCTTTCCAGCTGAATATTAAAATGCTACAATTATAAATATACCTGAGTAGGAAGGTTTCTCTCAAAGATTTTATAATAAATATCTTTATTTTTCTGTGTTTAAGAGGAAGTTTATATCTTGGTTAACAATAACCCATAGTTGTTACCATACTGGTATGTATTCAGAGTCTCACTTGAAGTTAGAAGTGCTCACACATGAAGTTCCAACAGAGAATCCTGTTAAATCCTATATTAGGATATGAATTAAAACTCAGCATTTCAACCATAGAAAATTCACTTACATTGACCAAGCCAAAATAATGCTCATTCACAGGGAACTGTTCAGGACCAATCTCTTTCTCCAAAGCAGAGGCATTGGTGCCCTACAAAGAAACAGGATGTTTTTGTTAGAGGAAAAAAAAGCATCTTCCCAAAAAAATCCAAGAGAATTCATATTACTCATAGAAAAACAAAGGTAAGAAAATGTTACTTCCACTGAAAATTAGCATCTCACATTCCTTATGTTCTTCAAAATGAAATTAATTATTATACAATTATGATAAAAGGTACCATGGTTACACTTAGCTCCACTTCCAGCTGCTGAAGTTGGGTATATCTGATCAAACAGAAGGATTTGCTGCATTTTAATTTATTTGAAAGTTAACAAGAAGAAATTTCTTCTCACTTAACACTTCAGGTTAGTCACAGTGACCCAGAAACACCAATTTAAATTTAGCCAAGAATGCATCATAAAAAGAAACCTGTAGCACACAGAGAACTTCTAAACCTAGAGGAGAGAAACCATATGGGCTACAAATGCCATCAAAGAAAAAAAACTGTGATGTGACTGCACAAAAGGTTTGATGTGGCTGTTTCTTATTTGCAACTTATACAAAGAATTCTTAGGGAAAAAAAATCTGATTTTTACTACACTTTACAGTAGAAATACTGTAATTTCCCTCCTTTATTTCTGGAATGTACTATGGACAAGTGAAGCATGATCACAAAAAAAGAATGGGAAGAAGAATTTGATCAGACGTGCCCAAAACTCAGATCACCTAAAAAACAGACCTGAAGCATCCCAACATTTTAATTTCCATTTTAACTTTGTCCACTTCAAACTCAAAGTGGTTTGTGCATCTTTTTCCACTTTTTCTCTTTTTTTAATCCACCAGTACTTCACAGCTGAGCTCCCACTTGGGATTTGGCACTTTCCCTCATAACATTCCATCTTGATGTTTCTTGTTGATGTTCCAACAGTTCTTAGGTGCATGTGTGCTGTCATCTACAGAATGACCCTCATTCAAGGCAAAATCCAAGCACTTTGGATTCATACCTTCTGTTTTAAATATTCAAGTCACTCCATCTATAACCTTCTGCAAATGGAAATCCTTCTGCACATTTGAGCCATCTCAAAGCACCTCAGAAAAGCACTAAACAAACAAAACTAACAGTGCAGCAAAATTCAGTTCATCTATTTCCCTGAAGCTAGTAATGGTTTTAAATTGCTGAGCAAATAATTCAACCATTTCCCTTAGCTTTCTGCTCTGAATACAAACCCCAGCCCAACAGGGACTGGAGAGACAGTTCCATCTACATTGTCTACAACAAAGAAATAACTAAAAGTTTTCTAAGAGGAAAGAAACCAAGAAATAATTCAGTTTAAGAGAAGGAATGGAAACTCTGTAGCTCCATCTCCCACATCAGATTTACAGTTTATTACATATATAAAAAAAAGATGGAAAACAAAGGCTTGATACAGAGTACTATAAAACACAGAAACATTTGCTGGATGCTGACAGATTTACAAGCAGGACTCTTTGCAAGCAGCATTTACACTGAAAATTTCTGAGACATCTGTGTGAGTTCAAGCAGCTCCT